ACAGAGCATGCCCCAGGGAAGGGTCGAAATGTCGAGTGGGTGGGGGGGGGGGGGGGGCGGCCGGGTCTCGAACAACATCGAGCCGCCGCGCCTGATGTCTGGGGAGGGGCCCGACGACTTCGTGGCCCCCACCATCCCCGCTTGAGGAGGGGAGGGGAGGAGGAAGCGGGAAAAGGAGGAGGAGGGAGGACGCGCCGCGAGGGGTGGGGGCAAATGGTGGGGCTTGCTGGACTTGAAGTCGGCAACGTTGTGGTTTTTGTGCGACTCGTGTCAGTCCTCCCGGACTTGGTTCAGTAGGGTGTTGTGAACGCCATTGGAGAAAGGGAGGGGGGCACAAGTATCAAGGATGATCGAGGTTGGTTTTGTTTGAGCTTTGTCCGGTTCTCTTCCGTGTGCTTCCAGGAACCACTTGGGGCTTCGGGAGACCTCCAGGGATGTCCTGAGGGACCTCCAGAGACATCTAGGGGGGGTGGAGGAGGAGAAGGGGAGGAGGAGGAGGAGGAGGAGGAGGAAGAGGAGGACCAGAGCAAACCCAAGATGTATCATCAACGATGCTGGAATACATCCTCTCGTTCCAAGGCCACTCATTAGATCCTTCAAATGGTTGCGTCACTGCGCGAAGCGCCGAGGAGGAAGGAGGGGAGGACGAGGAGGGTGTAGGAGGAGAGGGAGGAGGAGGCGAGAGAGGAGGAGGGGGATGACGATGGAGAACGACTGGCCAGTTTGCCCACCATCCCCTCTCGATGAGGGTGGGAGGAGGGTGAGGAGGAGGTGGAGAAGGAAGAGGAGAGGAGGAGGAAGAGGAGGACCAGAGCAAACCCAAGATGTATCATCAACGATGCTGGAATACATCCTCTCGTTCCAAGGCCACTCATTAGATCCTTCAAATGGTTGCGTCACTGCGCGAAGCGCCGAGGAGGAAGAAGGGGAGGACGAGGAGGGTGTAGGAGGAGAGGGAGGAGGAGGCGAGAGAGGAGGAGGGGAATGATGATGGAGAACGACTGGCCAGTTTGCCCACCATCCCCTCTCGATGAGGGTGGGAGGAGGAGCAGGAGGTGGAGAAGGAAGAGGAGAAGGAGGAGGAGGAGGAGGAGGTGGAAGAGAGCGAGTAGGTGGAGCAGAGGGACGAAGAAGGAGGGCGGTCATCGGTCCGTTCGTTCGCTCCGTGTCGTCCCCTCTCCGTCGTTGCGCTCGCCCCTGCCGTCCGCCGGAAGCCAGCAACCGGTAACCTGCGAACCTTCGAAGCCCAAGCGGTCGCGGTTCTGGGCGCAGGCTGTCACGAGGTCGGAGGTCTAGAGCACGACACCAACACCAATATCGGCGGTGTGCTTCGACCGAGGGAAGATGCTCCCAATCTCGGTGATGGTGGTCATCTCCGGGCCTCTAGGAGGCCGACCTCTTACCGCCAACGCCGACATCTAGAATCGTCTTCTCCCAGTGGAGGCAGCCCCGAGTGGCGGTGTTGGTGGCCTTGTCGAGTCCTCCAAAGAGGAGGGGCAAAGACGTTGTCGCACGCTCAATTTACATCCTTCCGCCGCCTCGCCGGCGTCCCTCTTGGGGGGGGCGCCTCTGCTCCGGGGCAGGCTCCAACCGTCCATGCGCCAGTCTTCGTTGGCCTCGCCTGGGCTCTGCCGTCGTCATCGTCGTCGTCGTCGTCGTCGCCGCCGTCGTCGTCGTCGTCCTCGTCGTCGTCGTCGTCGTCGTCGTCGTCGTCGTCGTCGTCGGCGTCGTCGTCGTCCGTCGGCGTCGTCGTCGTCGTTGTCGTTGGCGTCGTCCTCATCCGCCATGGCCGGTTCTAGCCGCGGTGCGTCCCCGTGCCATCAGGAGGAGGGGCAGGGCGGGCGGCGAGCCGCCTGCCTTCTCAGAGCCTCCCGCCGAGGTCGCCAGAGGAGGGTCGGCAAACTCGTTTCCCAGGTGCCCACCTGGCGCATTTGTTCGGCTCCAGTTCGGCCCCCTTCCGACTCAAGTTCGGCTCAGGGTCGAGTCGGGTTCGACTCAGCTTCGACTCAGGGTCGACTCAGATCGACGGGCGTTTTCGACGCAGCGTCGATGCACGAATGGGGCGAGTGTCTCCAGGAAGGTCCCCAGAATGAGCATCCAACGTTTCTCTCGTATGTCCCCCTCCGAACGCGGTTGCCTTGGGATCCGCCTGGGATCATCCAAAGACGCCCACATGGCTGCATGTTTCGGGGTTTCGTTTGATTCCCGATTTCGGGGCCATTAGTTCCCACTCCCTTTCTCCTCTCCTTCCTCGGTCTTTTTCCTCTGCTTCTTCTCCTCTTCCTCGGCCACGTTGGCGGGACCCCAATTTTAAATGGCCCGGTCGCTTCTCTGCATTTCTGGCATTTCACCTCCTCCCGATTTCAAGGGGTACTTAACTAGCTTCGAGGTTTATCTTATGCTTCACTGAGCTGTTCGTGTGGGAGTGTCCGCTTTCGTTCCCTCAGCTTGTCTCCTACTTCACCCCCACAAGACAAGAAGCGGGATAAAACAAAATCTGGTTAGCACACCAGCGTTACAGTGACGGCGTAAGCGAACGCCCTGCTAGCCGAGCAAGGCGTTGATCCCGTGCGTGCGCAGTGCAGACTGGCTGAATCAGGAGCAGCCGTCGCACCGGAACCACAAACCGCGGGAAGTCTTGCCCCAACGCAGCCTGACACGAGTCTCGGTCACACGAGGAGGAGGAGGAGGAGGAGGAGGGGGAGGAGGAGGAGGAGGAGGAGGTGGAGGAGGAGGAGGAGGGGGAGGAGGAGGAGGAGGAGGAGGAGGAGGAGGAGGAGGAGGAGGAGGAGGAGGGAGAAGGGGAGGAGGAGGAGGACACTTGCCCAGCCGTGCAGGGCGAGGTGTGCCTCCGGGGCGGTGGCCACTCCGTCCATCATGCCACGCCCCCTCCCACGTTTCGAAGGCTGTCTGTCCGTGGTCAAATGGCATTCGATCCACTGCACCGTCATGTGTCGCGTGGATGTTCCCTGCGACGGCCCCCTTGCGGCCACCAAGGAGCGGAGAGGAAGTAACAAGTTTGTGTAGCTATGCGAAAAATGGTTTCCACATAAGTTGAGCCTGCAACTCCAGCGCCAAATCGTAATACCTGCTGCTCCTCCTCATCCTCATCATCACCATCAGCATCAACATTGTCTTCGGTCTTCTACCTCCAACGGCCGTCGAGAGCGGTTTCGAGGGAAGCGGCCGGGGTCCTGCATGAGTTGATTTTTCATTTGTGTAAAAAATTGTTACCACCCCCGTGGCAAGCGTGGGGCGGCGGATTCAGCCGCCGCAGGAACCGGAACTTCGTCTTCGACGAGTACCGGTTCAGCAGGACGTGGTTGCGGTTCTCACAGAGGAGGGACCTTGGGTTCGGTGGTTGCAAGATTCGCCTTAACGAGGCAACCGATCCCTCGGAGGTCTTCTGGGAGCACATGGACTTCTCGCTGGGCGCGCGCGCCCTTCGCACCGCTCTGGTGGCGCTCGTCACCCTGGCCCTTGTCTGCTTCAGCGTGGGCTTCTTCGCCTCCGCGAAGCATGCTGCGAACGTCGCGCAGGCATACGGAGGCACAGAGTCGTGCATCGCCACGCAGGTGTTTGACCCAGTTAATGGCCAGTGCCTCGCTGGCACGGACTGCGAGTGCTACAATGCTGGGTTGCTCTCTGTAATCAACAACCAGCCTGCAGGCATCAAGGACTGCTGCGGAGACTGGCTCAGCGCGCAATACAGAGCCACCTCCGCGATGGTGGTGGCCTCGCTCGCGCCGGTGGCCCTGAACCTCGTCATCGCCTACGTGATCAACTTTCTGGCCAACTTCACGAAGTCCCACACGATCACATCCACCAATCAGGGAATTGCCCTCATGACGACCGTAATGCAGCTGGTCAACATCGTCGTCTCCGTGATTCTGGTGAACGCCGACTTCGGCCCCGGCTGGCGCGAGTGGGTGGACGGCGCCTTCGGGAGCTGGGGCTTCGGCTCGGACAACTTCCCGCTCGGCTGCGGCTCATTCTCGGCTCTGACTCCGGGGTGGTACGCAGAGGTCGGCGCCACCATCACCGTCTCCCTCGCCGTCAGCGCGATCACGATTCCGATGGCGATGCCTGTGTCCTACTTCATCCATCTGGCTTTCAAGAGGGCATTCGCGGGAAGAGTCAGCTCGTCTGAGCAGCTGAAGGCCTTGTTCATACGGCCGACCTACAATCTCGCTCTGATCTCTGCACAGGACGCCGTGATGATCATGGCGTGCGTCATGTTCTCGGCCGGCATTCCAGTACTGTGGGCCGTCCTGGCGGTCTACCTAACATTTTCTTATATTGCGAAGAAATACACCTTCCTGCGCGGTTCACGGGAGCCGCCTCACTTCAGCCACCATTTGTCGCGCATGATGGCGCGGTACACGCAGGCGGCCGTGGTCTTCCACTGTGCGTTCGCGGTGTGGGTGTTTGGCGAGCCGTCGTCGTTGCCCAGCAGAGTCGACGACCGCGGTCTGGATATGGACGGTTCTTTGAGATCTCACGTCGTGGTAATACGGTGGGGGCGTTCGTTAAGGAACGTCCAAGGAGGCTTCAGACCCTGGAAGGCTCTTTGTCTGACGAGGGCGGCGGTGCTATCCACTGCCAATCCACGATTGGCTTTCCACTGGCTTCCACACCTTGGACTCCTTACCGAAGGTTTCCTTATCCAATGCCATCACCGTAGTAGAGATGAGAACCTTGGGGTGGCAGCTCACGACCACAGAGCTCCTGGCAGTAGCCTTTTCTGCAGCGTTTGTGGGAGCTTGGCCGATCCGTGGGGGGTCCTGTGGCGACGGGCAGGGGAGCAGAAACAACGCCCGCCCTGGCGTCTGCCCAGGCAGTCCTAGGATTTTGCATACACACACACACGATCCACAGCGGCCGCGGCGCCCGATGCATCCTCCAGGCATGCGGGCTGCCAGGGATTCCAGCTCTACGCCCCCATCCGACTTGACCCACGATGCACGGCTCTGAAGGTTTCCACCAGTCGCTGTCCGGGTGGGACTACGAGAACACCCACGCAGCGTTCCTCGCGCTGGCCGTGGCGCTCATAGTCGCCGCCCTGCGGGTGGTGCTGTTCGTCCTCGGGAGCGTCGGAGGGGAGGGTTGCGGGCAGATGAGTCTGCCTTCTTCGAAGAAGACAGGCGACAACCTTACACACGTAAACTGTCGGAGGTTTGCGCGATTTTCTTGTATCGGCGCTGCCCACGCTTCCCTCGCGCTCTCCGCGCGCCAGGGGCGGCGCTGAATGCGCCGCCAGATGGGTCCAGCACCGATCAAGGAGATCGGTGCGGAGCGTCGAAAGTTTGTGCAGGTGCTGTTTTGTTCGCCGTATGCTGCTGACCCTCCATCCTCGGCGCACGGGTTTGGATGGGGGGCAGGGCAGGCACCCTCAGGAATGGGTCGAGCCCTTTGTGGGCCCCGGAAACGGCAGGGCCGTTTTTCACCGTTTCCAAAAAAATGTCTTTTGAAAATGGAAACGAAAAAAAAACGGCGACCGGAAACGGCAAAAAAACTGCTCCAGGATTGGAACCGGAGCCGGAACCGTCAAAAAACGGCGACGGAACCGGTCAAAAAACGGCGTCGGAACCGGCAAAAAAACGGCAAAACGGAACCGGTAAAAAAACGGCCTTGTCGTCTCCAGGGCCCACTAAGGTCGAGCCCCCTGCTTTACCAAGTCGATCGGCACATCCACCCGTGGGGGGGGGCTGTTTTCGAGGCCCCTCGAGACGGCGCTCCGATCGCCGCTCTCGCGGGCCTGCTTTCGCGGGGTTGGGTCCCCGGGCCGTTTCCACTGAAGGTGTATAGTCTGTCCGTTGAGGCTGCAGGCTGTGTGCAGCGGGAGTGGGGACTCTCAGGGGTCCCCCGGGAGGGCGCGCGCGGCCGCTCTGCCCAGAGTATCATCCGCATCCTGCCTCCATCCTGGCCCTCCTCCACCTCCTCTCTCTCCCCTCCTCTTTCTCTTGCGTTTAGTGCACACGCGTCTGCCCGCAACTGCGCTCTGCCATAATATAGAGGTTCTGACCACCTCCGAGTCGGGGGCCCCAAGCAAGAGCGTGTTTCTTTATTGCTTGGGGCAGAATGGGCATTGTAGCCCCTGGCCCCCCCTCCCCCCCTTTAACGTCACGCCCCTCCCCCCCCAGCGCGCTCCGGGCACTGCCGACGTGCGCGCGGCGGGGAGGAGGCGTTACATTATCTTCCCCCTGGCCCCTCCGACCTCCCATTATGCCCATTATCGCCGAAAATAAAGAAACGCGCTCCAAGTCTCCCGCTGGGGCCGTCATGCCGCGCACCGCGGCCTCGGGCCGGGGAGCCTGCTCTCCTTCGGGGGCGGCTTGGCAAGAGCGTATAGAGAGATAGCCGCGGCTCGTGCAGCGCGAGGCGGAAAGACGAGTGCCATGGATTGGAGGCGAGGACGGACCACGCACACACACACACACACACACCCACACACACACCCACACGCACCCACACGCACCCACACGCACCCACACGCACCCACACGCACCGACACGCACCGACACGCACCGCACCGCACCGCACCGCACCGCACCGCACCGCACCGCACCGCACCGCACCGCACCGCCACGCCACGCCACGCCACGCCACGCCACGCCACGCCACGCCACGCCACGCCACGCCACGCCACGCCACGCCACGCCACGCGCACACACACACACACACACACACACACACACACACACACACACACACACGCACCCACACGCACCCACACGCACCCACACGCACCCACACGCACCCACACGCACCGCACCGCACCGCACCGCACCGCACCGCACCGCACCGCACCGCACCGCACCGCACCGCACCGCACCGCACCGCACCGCCACGCCACGCCACGCCACGCCACGCCACGCCACGCCACGCCACGCCACGCCACGCCACGCCACGCCACGCCACGCCACGCCACGCCACGCCACGCCGCACACACACACACACACGCACACACACACACACACTCACACACACACCACACACACACACGCACACTTTTGCGTCGGCGGCTGGGGGGCAGAGGGCGACTGCTCCAGCAGATAGGCAACAGGGGACACGCTGTATGCAAATTAGGGCCGCAACGCACTGAAGGAGGAGAAGGAGCCCCGGCGCGACGGGAAGAGAAGAAGCCGGGCCACTCAGAGCTGCCGTCAAGGGACGACTCAGGACGAAAAACCGGTCCCTGGAAAGGGGCCCAGGCTCCTTGGGTCACGTCATGAAAGGGTCATGACGTCGGGTATCTGGGACTCGGGGATGCATTGCCAGGGGGCTATACGCAGCCGTATCGAGGATGGACGCTTCCCACGTCGTCTACCCAAGAGTTTGGCTTCAAATTTCTGGTCCATTCGGAAGCCCCATGAAGTCGGTGACTGGGACCGTCATGCACCCGGTACCCCTGGGAGCGCCGCCAAGACGAGGGGCCAGCCGCCCCGAACAAGGCATCCAGCTTGTGTCGTGTCGTTCTGCGTCCGCGAAGTGAGGGCCAGACAGGGCCACGACTGGGACACATCGTTCCAGAGCGTTTCGGAACGCTTATGGAACGGCCGTGGCGCCCGCGACATCCTCCAGAAACGCCAGATCTCGGAGCGCCCTGACGCGGTGACGGAGACATCCTTCAGAGCCGTTGGATACATAAGAGCCCCCCGACTTCATTATCCCGGTCCGAGTTTGTTTCCGCCCTGGCGTCGTCTTCACTCTCCCTCTTCCTCCTCCTCGTCCTTCTTCATATTCGTTCAGGCCGTGTCTCACCGTTTTATTGGCCAGGCGAGCTGTTCCGCAGTGCCAGATCTTGTGCGAGCTGTGGGAGGATTTTCGATGGGTGCGGAGCTTTCGTGCAGCATAAAAGTCGGGGACATGAGCATGACCTTGAAACTATGTTTGCATCCGCTACCGCACCCAGTACAGTGGACATTCTTCGGGTTTGGTTCGCGAGAGCGTGAGACGTTCAGCAAATTAGGTAAAATGCACGACTTTTCCGTCGAAGGCCCGCACACCTTTGTGTGCAGTGGGGGCCCATGCCAAGAAGCACCCTGCTTGCCTCCGGGGTGCCCTTGGTTTCTTGGGTCTGCATGGTTTTGCGATGGACAGCGCGACGTCCCCAGGCCAAAAATCAAGGGACGTCCTGGGGTCTCTCAGGGTTGGGCCTCTTGTGGACGGTTTCCTTTGGGCTGGCCCCCGCTCCACACACGCGCGGCCTCCAACAAGAGATCCCGGCCTCGTCTCCTCCTCCTCCTCCTCCTCCTCCTCCTCCTCCTCCTCCTCCTCCTCCTCCTCCTCTCGGGCAGAGGGGAGGCACCGCCATGGCCGTGGCCGCCGCCCGGGTGCTCGTCGGCATGGCGAGCTCGCGGGGCAGGTCCGCCGTGCGGCCCTGCGGCGACCGGTGCTGCGCCGGGGGAGGCCCCGCGCGGGGGGCGCCATTCTGACCAGCTTGTGCGCCTCTCCTGGAGCCCTGGAGGAGGAAGAACGATGAGGGAGCAGGGGGGGAGGAGGAAGGGGGACGATAAGCTTGGAGGAAGGAGGATGACGAAGGAGGAGGAGGAGGAGAAGGACGGGGGGGGAAGGAGCAGGCAGGAGGGATGACGGTGGACGAGGAGGAAAGAGAAGGGAGGAGAAAGGCGAAGGGAGGAAGAATGAGCGGGAAGGGGTGTCCCCACCCAGGAAACAGCAGCGATGAGCCATTCGGCGGTCGAGTCAGTCCCGGAGCTGTGCGCGCCTGCTACCGGCTACCGCGCAGGTCTGTCCAGTAAAGGTATACGCCCCATGGAGGAAGGCACAGGGAAGGCACGGCCGCCAGGGCTGACCCGTGGCGCCATCTCGAAGGCTCCTCGGGGGCATCCGGCGGCCCTCGGAACTCGTCGGGTCTTGAGGAAGGCCGGGCGCGGAACTCGGGGAGGATGAGGAGGGAAGAAGGAGGATAAGGAGGGCAAGGCTGCTAGGGGAGGACATCGGAGGACCGAGACGGGAGACGATGTGGAGGCCGCGCGCGCGGCCGCGGCCTTGGCCTCGCGCACGGGGCCGAGGAAGGGCACGAGGTCCGCGAACCTATACACACATATATATATGCACACATATATATATATATATATATACATGTATGTGTATATGTATATGCACCTATATAAGCATCCAGTGTATGTACACTTATACATATGTACATGCATCATATATATGTATCATATATATATATGCACCCATGTATATATAAACATATACACCTATATGCATCATATGTATGTATATGCACCTACATATATATAGAGATACATCACCGTCGACGACGGCGACGAGGACGAGCGACGACGGCGAGGACATATTTGGCGGGAGAAGGAAAGTGAGGAGGAGGAGGAGGAGGAGGAGGAGGAGGGGGAGGGGGAGGGGGAGGGGGATGAGGATGAGGAGATAAAGAGGACGAGGCTACACCCGTTGTGCTGGAAGTTCTCTGGAGGTTTCAAGAGGAGGGGGAGCGGGAGGACGACGACGACGACGACAACGACGACGACGGCGACACGACGACGGAGATCACGATTCGGGCTCACGACTAGGAGGGTGAGGATGAACACGAGGGGGAGGAGGAGGAGGAGGAGGAGGAGGAGGAGGAGGAGGAGGAGGAGGAGGAGGAGGAGGAGGAGGAGGAGGAGAAGCAGGAGGAGGACAAGCAGGACGAGGAGGAGGATGACAATAACGAATGTTGATGAGGAGGAAGAGAAGGACAAGGAGGTTGAGGAAGAGGAGGAGGAGGAGGAGGAGGAGGAGGAGGAGGAGGAGGAGGAGGGCCAGTCTAGTCAACGACGGCCCTCTTCCTGGCTTCATTCGTCTGTTTTTAGCCTCCTGGAGGCGTCTCGTCCTGCGGCTGGACCCTGCGTCGAAAGCAGGGTCAGGACGGATCCTCGGAGATGTCCAGGGCTTGAGTTTGAGCGCGTTTGGGCCAGGCGGGAGAGCCGCCGTCAGGAGGGGGGAGGGGCTCGAGCAGGGAGGGGCTCAAGGGGCGCCTCGAGGAGGAGGGCAGAGGAGGAGGAGGAGGGCAGAGGAGGAGGAGGAGGAGGAGGAGGAGGAGGAGGAGGAGGAGGAGACGGAGGAGGGCAGAGGAGGCGGAGGCGGAGGAGGAGGGGGAGGAGGAGGAGGAGGAGGAGGAGGAGGATGAGGAGGAGCAGCAGCAGCAGCAGCAGCAGCAGGAGCAGGAGCAGGAGCAGGAGAAGGATGAAGGTTGGGACGAGGCGGGTGTCGGTGAGCAGCAGGACCGAGGAGGCGGGGGCCTCCACGGGCAAGGAAGCAGCTGGGCCATCAGGCCATATTCGAGGGGCAGGGCTGGAGACAGCTATGCTTTACACTCGTCCTCTTCCTGGCCCTCCTGGCCCTTCGCCTCCCCCTCCTCTCTCTGCTGCGGTGTTCGCCGGCGCCTCGCCCACGGAGCCGTCTCCAGCAATGCGGGGCGGCTGCCGGCCCCGCCTTTTCTGGAGGTGGCTCCCCGTGTTGGGGGGCTTGAGAGAGCCCGCGGGCCGACCCCAACCGCCGCTCGGCTGTTCGCTTGCTCGCTCGCCCCTCCTCTCCCCTTCGCAGCCTGCCGCTGCGCCAGCTGTCTCGGTGGCGTGGGGCCCCGAGTTTGAGGACTCGGAGGTCGACGGGTAGCTCTGACTGCGCGCAGATGCCTGAAGGGTGGGCCAACTCAGCCCGAGCCCATGCTCCCCATCTTCTCCCTCCTGGTCGTATTTCTCACCCTCCCCCCCCGCCCCGCCCCCTCGCTCCCTCAGCTACGGCCATCCCCGTCCACCTCGCTTCTCCTCCGCCTTACCTCCTCGCTTACCTTCCTTATCCTCCCTTATCTCGTCCTTGTCCTCCTCCTCCTCCTCCTTCTCCTCCTCCTCCTCCTCTTCCACCCTATCCACTTAAATATGACGCTCCAATTTCTTCCAAGGTATCCACCTCCTCTTTCACTGCATCCGTAGACACCGCTGTATCCTCCTCTTCTTCCTCCTCCTCCTCCTCCACCTCCTTCTCCTCCTCCACCTTACCACCCTCCTCCTCCTCCTCCTCCTCCTCCTCCTCCTCCTCCTTCTCATCATCATCCACGCTCTCTGGCAAGCACGGCGGTCATGTGATGTAGAGGCCAGCGCCGCCGAGACGGGCACCAGGAGCGGGGGCGCTCCGGCAGCGTGCAGGGGGCAGCGCGGGAGAGAAAGCGCGGCCCCCGCGCTGGCCACACGCGGCAGGGAGAGCGCGGCGGGGGGAAGCGCCGCGTGCTTGCACGAGCCCGGCCCAGACTTTTGCCCCAGGCCCTCCTATAGAAGGCTTGAGCCTCTGTTCTTCGGGCGGTAATAACTTGTTGTTGCAAGTCACAAGTCGACGCCCCCAGGCGGGAGTGTTCCGCCGTCGGCGCCCCGCGCGATGGCGGGCGGCTGCGTGACCACCCGCCGCGGGCCGCCGCTCCGTCGGGCGGGCCAGGCCTCCGCGGGGGCATGCTGGCGTGCCGCGCGGCCGTGCGTCGGTGTCCTTCCTCCCTCCTGTCCCTCCGTGCACGGTCGAAATGTTTCCTCTCTGCCGCCTGGCCGCGGGGCGGGATATCAAGTGCCCAGCCATGTCAGCAGCGCCCCACCTGCCTAGCGTGCACTCTTGAGGTGGGGCGGCAGGCCAGGGTGCTGTCCTCTGCCTGCCAAAGCGCCGCTTTGGACCACCCCTGGGGGCGACGTGCGGCACGTCCGTTCGCCAGACTGCGCCGGACGCGACCGCGGTCGCTGCTCGTGTTCTCCCACCCACCACCCTCGAGGGGGGGTATGGCACCCATGTGCTTCGGCCTTCGCCCTGGCGCGCCAGCCGCCGGCGTCGTTAGACGCGGCGGGCTGGCGTATCAGCTGGAGGCGTACGGCCGCGGCCCCACCGAACTCTGATTTGGCGCCGTCCTCCTCTCTCGGGTGTCGTCGCGGTCGAACGTCGCCGCGAAGGACTTTTCATGTATGTGAGATTCGGGCAAGTTTGCTGGCATAGCGTTCGCCCCCCCCCCCCATCCCCCTTCCCCTCCCCGTCTCGCCCTTCTTCGGGCGATGGCTTCCGCACGCGCAAGTGCCGCTTGCGGCCTGCTTCAGGTACAACCCCCCTCCCATGCAAGCTCATTCGGGGGGCCGCCTTTTTTCCACGTTGGGCGTGCTGGCCGGGCGTCGAGCCCCAGGGCCATGCCAGATCGACGCAGCCTGGAGGATGCTGCAGAAAGATAGGGTCTTACATAGGGCTCTGGTCGATGTCTTCGCGCGGTGTTGCCGCTTTTGTGTTGCAGCCTCGGGCCTCAGGGTCCTGACGCCTTCCCCGGGGACACTTTTGCTCGCCATGGGCCCGTTGCTGATGGCCCCGGGGCCCGACAGCGGGCCGCATGGGGCCCGAGACCATGGACAGCGCGTAGATGTGTATAAATCATATCCTCGGGGATCTAGGTAGTAATGCTCCCGTCTGCCGAGCACCCACAAGGCTCGCGCTGAAGAGGCCGCGCGTGGGCGTGGGAGCGGCGCACTCATCCTGATTTTTTTCATCACTTACGGGCTTCCAGAGACGAGCACGTGGCGCAGAGGCCAGGGCAGCAAGCAGCGGCGCCACGATGGCACGCCCGCCGTGGCCACTTCCCGCTCTCTCCAGCGACCAGGAACAACGAGCGGGGCGGCCGCCCAGGCCCTTCCACGCTCTCCGGCATAGCAGGCAGCGGCGCCACGGTAGCAGTGGCGTCCGCCGTGGCCCCTTCCCGCTCTCCCGAGCGGAAAGATCGAGGGGGGGGGCGGCCGCCAGGGCCTTTTCTCTCACACTCTCCGACCACACCATTAGCACCATCGCTATATGACGCACGACGGCCCACGGAGCGCGGGGGGCCCGCAGAGCCCCCGACGACCTTCCCAATGTTCAAGGCGACCTCGAAGAGGAGGAGGAGGAGGAGGAGGAGGAGGAGGAGGAGGAGGAGGAGGAGGAGGAGGAGGAGGAGGAGGGGGAGGAGGAGGAGGAGAGGAAGAGGAGGTGGAGGGGTGGAGGAGGAGGAGGAGGAGGAGGAGGAGGAGGAGGAGGAGGAGGAGGAGGAGGAGGAGGAGGAGGAGGAGGAGGGGGAGGGGGAGGAGGTGGAAGAGGAGGGGGAGGAGGCGGAGGAGGAGGAGGAGGAGGAGGAGGAGGAGGAGGAGGGGGAGGAGGAGAAGGAGGAGGAGGAGGAGGAAGAATAGGGGGAGGAGGGGCAGGGAAGATGGAGGAGGACAGGAAGGTGGACATCGGTCTCCCGAGGCCTCGCGGCCGGCGCGTCGCGGGCCGGCGCCGCGGTCTCCGCGGCCGGGCAGTGGCTGGGGTCGTCCCTCGCCGACTTCCAGAGGGCCGTGGAGGACAGCGTGCTTCAGGCCCGCGGCGCACACAATCGAGCAGTGGCGAGGCGTGTGGGCCTGCTTGGCCCACCACATGGGGACCCCAAGACTACACACCACCACCACAACCACGTCGATTCCTCCGCCCTCCTCTACCCTCCTCTTCCGCTCCTCTTTCCTGGGGGAGGGATGGGGGTGAGGGAGGCGGTGGTGGTGTATATGTTTGGGCCCCCCACCCAAGAGTGTTCCAAGAACGTTCCCCAGACCTCCTCGCGTTGTATAAACAAAGCACGACGGGAGATTTTTCGCTATTTTTGGTATCCTGGCCTCGGGACCGTCACAAAACGACTCAGCATGAAAAGCCGGTTCCCGGAACGGGGTCTGGGGGTCGACGCTGCGACAAAATCACGACGCCCGGGGGTCCAGGCCCGTGGTTTGCAAGAAGGCGAGTTCTGAGCATGCCTGGTTGAGATGGTCTTTCTTCAGCCCGTCGCTTCCACGTCATACGGACATGGCTGCTGTTTTCCGAGGCGTGCTCTCGCTGGAGAAGAAGGCAGGCCATAGGGCTTGAAGCAGGCAGGTCGTGCAGGAGTGCTGGGCCTGTCGGCCCCTGCTCGGCATTGCAGGGGGTCCCGAAGCCTCCGCGCGTGGCGCCGAATTCGCGACGCGAGTCCTGCTTCATTCTGCTGGTGTTCTCCTTCCTCCTCCTCCTCCTCCTCCTCCTCCTCCTCCTCCTCCTCCTCCTCCTCCCACTCCTCCTCCTCCCACTCCTCCTCCTCCCACTCCTCCCTCCCACTCCTCCTCCTCCCACTCCTCCTCTCCTCCTCCTCATCCTCCTCCTCCTCCTCCTCCTCCTCCTCCTCCTCCTCCTCCTCCTCCTCCTCCTCCTCCTCCTCCTCCTCCTCTCACTCCTCCTCCTCCACCTCCTCCTCCTCCTCTTCCTCCTTCTTCTCTTCCTGCCACTGCCGCACCCAAGGAGGCCCTTACTGGGCCTCGGGGGCGTCAACAAATGGCTCGGGATGAAAGAAAGCCAGTCCCTAGGAAGTGAACATCCATGCCACATTCGTCTGTCAACGCCTCCCCCTCCCCCCAATGCTCAAAGTTGGCGGTGGGTCTGATGAGTTGCACTTCGACCGCAGTGTCCCCCGCGCGTGCCAACTTTGAGTTTTGGGGAGGAGAGGTAGTGTTCAGTAATTATTTCCCTCTTCCGGAGTTCCCACCCCGACTTCGCGACACCGCTTGTCTACAAGATCCCGGGGGTGCTTTCCCATGGGAAGTTCTCCAGGCTCACAGGCCGCCCTCTCAGACGCCGCACGGCCCTTCCAGGGAGGCCCTGCCTCCCAAGATGCCCCCTCCGCCCTCTTCGAAGGACCCCCCCCCCAGCGCCTTCCCCCTGGCGCGCGCGCGTCCGGCCAGGAGTCCTTCGCGGAGGGGCCCCGCGAGCACTTCCGACGGAACCGGATCCCTTGGAGCTACGACCCGGGGAGCAGCGAGGAGCTCGGCGGCGTGTTCGCCCGCAGGCCGCGCGAGCCAAAAGGCTGCACTCGCACCAGCCTTCGGGGGCCCGCGCGGGCCTCTGAAAGCTCGCGGTTCCTGGGCATGCCATGTTTTTTTTTCGGAGGTGGATAGACTTCCTACTCTGACACGTCGATTAGTGAATTGGCCGTTTTCGGTTCTCGAGAGGGCGTCGCGGCCGTCATTTTTGCTGGTCCAGGTCCGTCGGTTTCGGCCCCAGGCCGTTTTCATTAAGGGGAGGTTTACTTAAGGGAGGTTTGTCCACTGCCGATTTTTTCGGTTTGCAGTGCGGGGTCCTCAGAAGCCCCGTGCCCTTTCTCCGGGCCCGTTTCTCATCCCGCGTGGCTTTCGCCTGTCGACCCTGCGAGGGCCCCCCCCCCCCGGGAAGACCGCCAACGGGCGAGAGAGCGCCCCGCCGTATGATGATACAGAGCCCCCCCCCGGAGGCCGCAAACGGCTCATGAACGTCCCACCGTGACTGCCTGTACTCAGGAGGGAACAAATCACACAGACACACACTGCATCGCCGATTGCCCAGAACATAGGGGAACATATGGGAAGTAGGGGGGAAGACAAAACTCAGAAAATCTGGGAACATGTGGGGGATCCTTTTATTTGTGTTATTCATTTGTGTGTCCTGGGGCCCCTTCACGTGGGAGGAGAGGAAATTCCAGGAGCCTGGAAGCTCGGGCTCGACTCTCGGACCTCGGAGGAAACTGCCGAGGCGATCGAGCCACCTTTGTGGACACCTCGAAAGCATATAATTAGAGCCTTTGCGAGAGTCCGGCATTAGCAGACCGCCGAGCTGTGTATTTACTTGTGTGTCCCAGGGCGCCTTCATATACTGCAAGTCCAGGGCGTGTCCGGGTTGCGCCGCGCTTGCCCCCCCCCCTTCACGAGGGCGGGCGGGCCCGGCGCCCGCGACGGCGAGCCGGCCCCGAGCGCCGCCGAGGGCGGCGTGCGCCCAGCGATCGAGGCCGTGTGACCACCCGCGGCCGGCGCCCGCGGGCTGCTCGCCCCGCGGGGGGCATCGCTCGGCCTCCGCGCTCCCTCGTCCTGCTCCTCCTCCTGCTCCTCCTCCTGCTCCTCCTCCTCCCTTCCTCCCCCTCCTCCTCCTCCTCCTCCTCCTCCTCCTCCTCCTCCTCTTCTTCGTCTGCTTCTGGCTCGGGTGCACACGACGCCCGGCCGACAGACTCCCCAGACATGATGTCGCCGCCAAGACAAGTAAGGACGGGCGGTTTTTCCCTGTCCTCGGCCCCAGGGTGACCCAGGGGCCAGGGCAGGGGGCCAATGCCGCCTCGGGCCCCCGCTCCTCAAACGACGAGGTCAGCCTGGGGCCAGACCTATCCCACGACGACCATGGCGACGACGATCGTCTGCACGTCGACCCAGACATGATCGCGTCGTACAAAACATCAAGACGGGCGGTGTTTGGCTATTTTCGGCCCCGGGGGGCCCTCGCTGGCCCCCCGGGACCGTCAACAAAAACGACTCGGGATGAAAAGCCGGCCCCGGGGAAAGGGTCTGGACTTCCGGGGACGCCGTTCTGAAAAGATCTGGTAGGGGGCCACACGCGAACCCTACCCCTACCCCCCACGATTTCGGAGGGGGAGGGTGGGGTTCACTGCGCTCGGGACCCAGACCCCCGACGTCATGAATTCTTCATGACGTCGACCCCCAGCGGTCTGGACCCATTCCCCAGGACCGGTTTTTCGTCCTGAGTCGTTTTTTGTCGCTCCCGAGGGCCGGTAAGGGCCCCCGGAGGCCAAAAGTAATGAAAAACCTCCCGTCGTGATTTTTTCATGACTCGAGGGGGTCTGGGGATCGCGCCGCATCCAAAGTGCATCGCCGATGCACTGGCGATGCACCGGCCACGTCGGCGGTGCATCGGCGACGTGGGTGGAGAACATCGGGCTCCATGTCGCGCCGCACCGCCGATGCCTCGGCGACGCGGCGCGATCCTCTCCGCCCCCCATCTGCTGTGACCACATCTGGGAGGCCATGGGCCCAGACGTGCGACGCCCTGCTAGGGGGCCACACGCGAACCCTACCCCTACCCCCCACGATTTCGGAGGGGGAGGGTGGGGCTCACTCTATTCGGGACCTCTTCCAAATCAGATTCGGCGAATTGCTGAGCTGCACCGTGTAGTTTGACGCACCCGTCCTCCCACATGCGGAGGCGCGTCGCCCTTTTGGTTGGTACTGCGCCGGGTTGCTGGCCGCAAGCGCGGCGGCCCCCGGCAGTCTTGCATGCCGCGTGCGCGCACACGTCCGTTGGCTCGTTAGCTTCACTTGCAACGCGGTGTCGCCCATCCCCCCGCGTACAACCCACTTACCACTCTCTCCTTTCTTCCCGCTGTCTCCCCCTCTGTCTCCTCTCCATTCCCTCTTTCCTTCTCTGCCCGTCTCCCGCTCCCCGTCTGACATTGCCACTCCCGCAGGGGGAGAGAGGCAGGGAGAGACAGAGGGGGTTTCCTTTCTCCTTCCTCTCCGACTCTCCATTCCATCCCTTCCCTCCTTCCCTGCCCCCCCCCTTCCAGTCCGGGCTCGAGAGCGCTGGGCGCTCAGAGCGACCTCCAGCCCGGTGAGACTGTATTTGCATCAACCATACGGGACCGATGTGCACCACCTCCCCTTCCTTCTGCGCTCGCGCCATGGCTCCGAGATGCCCACGCCGCGCGCCATTTGCACCACCGCAGCCCACGCCACTAGGGAAGGGCCGCCCAAAAGCTGCTTCAACGCATCGACAGGATGCCAACCTCAGGCGTAAAGAAGCTTGCGCCGCCGCACACCAGAGCAGCGGTGGCGTCGACCGAGCAGTTGCTGCATACAACGGACTGGTTCATCAACGTCAAGTCGATGTTAACATCATGTACCAAACACGCCGTTCCGACCAGCGCAAGCTCAGGAGCGGTCTGCAGTTGCGCTGATAAGACACAACCCGCAAAACCATATTGCACAACTCCCTCACGGACAGCGCGGGTTCCAGCCGCGACGCACCAGGGTCCGCGACTTCCGCCGGTGCCCACCAGGGCAACGGCACCGCCCCATTAGCATTCCGCCCCGTTCGCTAGAAAAAAATAACCGCCTCATGCTACAGATCCGTCAGCAAGACAAACTCCTCGCGCTCGCCGTCCAGGAATCGATCAAGTTTGACTTTGGTCACCCAGAGCAAGAGGCCTTTTTTTCCATCCCTGTTCTCCGACGGACGGCACAGGCTACCGAACCTACGCCCGGACACGCAAACGTGACCATCTACCAACTGGGCGGCACAGTAAGTCCATTGATCCCGAAACGTTGCACAGGCCACCGCTGACCCAGTTGACGGCGCCATTTGGATCCGAGGCGCCATATGCGATGCCGACGCTACGCCTGCCACGCCAACCTTGGAGGACTTGCTCACCGCCCGGTTTTGTGGCGCCGCCCCCCATCGGTGCCGCCCGCGTGCCAGGCCTCACAGGCACGGCACCGCAGAAGGGCACAGAGCGCGCTCAGGCAGCCAGACGCGACTGCGCGCGACAACAGTTGGATGGCGACCTCACAGACGCCTTCACGGCCCTGTTCGCCTCCCACTGTCGCACCGCCCCAGGCCATCCAGCCTCTCGTTGGCCCCCGAAAACAGAGAGGTCACTGCGCCAGGTCACTCTGGCCCGAGCCCAAGAAACCCGTCGCCCCACCGACCACGCGCCAGGAACGTTGGTGAACACATCCAAGGACGACCCAACTGTCGCCTTCCTTCTCGCGACCACGCGATGGGCGGAAGCCTTCTGTCCTATCCCAGCCCCGACCACCGCCATCAGGCGGTCAGGGAACGACAGGAAAAGCGCCCGAACCGAAGGCACATACGTGGCCTTAGCCTACGCCAAACCAGGAGCCGACTATACCGCGCTGTTCCAGAATATCTGGGCAGGCTGCCACCATGGTTGGCGACGCGCCCAACGTGTATTTCATGTGCATGGACGTAGAGACGCCCAAATGCGACCTCAAGGGTTCGGCTGTCCTCGCCCGACGCCGCGAAAGGCGACCCCGACGAGCGAGCGTGCACCTGCGGCCAAGACCTTGACTGGGGCCGTCGCGCTACTGGCATTGGGACAACACGCATCAACTACGTTCTCGCCAACTCAGAAGCGAAACGACGTCTTGCCAACCTCCCCCGCCTGCGCGATCACCCAACCAAAGCAGCTCCATGGCCCCATGGTCTCACTCTCGGCCTGAATGCCGCCAGGCGCCCGGCGAGGAGACTGATGGCGGCGGCGCGCTGCCCGCTTGCCTGCCCGACGATGGACTTCGAAGACAAGCGAGGCCTAATGGGCCGCGCCGAGCGCGCTTACCGCGCGGGATCGACGAGGCTGACGCCGCCAGCGACGCTAGCGAAATCTTAGACTTTGCCAGCTAAGCGGCTCGCTACTCATGCGGAACTCCGCGGCGGGTGCCCACCAATCATAATGTTCGACGTGGCAAAGCCCCGCGCTTGCACCGCGCCCGCGCCCCATGCCGCCCATGCCGCCCCGCCCATGCCTTCGAAATTTCCACTCCGACAGGGCGCCCATGCCGCCCCGTTCTTGCACCGTGAACATGGAGCGGCTAGTCGGGCTGCGGCCGCTCTCGGCAAGCTCTCGCGGCGACCCGGGGCCGTCGAGGAGGGCTTTGGTTCCCGCCGTGGATGCCGAGGCGATCGCGGCGCCAGCCATCCAAGCTTCTCGGGGCCAATCAGGTGCATCCGGGACGCGCCTACTGGTCGTGCCGAACGCAACCGACCAAACACTCTGACGGAGTTCCTGCGCCTCTGGTACCGGGGCAAACCCCCGACCGATGAACAGTGCGACAACCTGATCGCCCCCGCTGACACTCGGCCGAGGAGGCGCAGCCTCTCTGACAGAACCGACCGCGCCACCGCTGGGGAGTTCGAATATCTGCCGAAGACGGAAGCAGGGTGAAAAGCCCATGGGCCAAAGGGGTTGACAAGTCTAGCACCGTCTACCGACGCGCCCCGCATACCGGCCCCTCGCACGCGCCGCCAGGCACAAGCGGGGGCGAAGCTTGGAGAGGCAGTTCCCCGTTAGAAGACAGCGACGCCCCCGGCGCGCAGTCGCTCCCGCGAAGCGCCGGCAACCGCCCCGAGCGACCCCGTCGCGGACAACGAAAGCGACGCCGAGGATTCAGCTCCGACGCAGACCACCCAGAGCGCCGACTTTTCCGACGTTCCGACGCCAAAGCCACGCGTGAACGCGCGACGGACACGCGGGGACCCGTCCTCGACATTTACCGAGACACGGGGGCCTGCTCGGACGAAGCCCCACCAAGCGCGGGACAATTTCAATGCTGAGTGCCGCTGGGGCTCTGGCGCCAGCGCGAAAGTTCGCCCAGGCCGTTGAGGCCTTTATTCGCTTCTTTCGGACCCCCCCGTTGCCGGGGCTGGGGCCATGGCTCGGTGGGCCGTGAAAGAAGCCCGAGCGTTCCCTCGCGGCCCCCCCGCTTTTTCGCCGGGTCGCTGAGGGCCGCGCAATGCGCGGGGCAAGTCCTGGGGCCCCTCCTGCACGTTCCAAAACCATGCCTTCGGAAAGGAAAAGGCGAGCTCGCCACCGACCAAAGGCTGCCTTCCGCCATGTCCACGTGGACGCACGCCCACGGAGCGCCACCTGATCCATTGGGCCCGCCCAACCAGCTTCGGCGCGGCACCGCGCGCCACAGTAGGGGATGCCAGCGCGACTTCGGCGCAACAGGTCGAGCGCGCGCGCCGCCTGCGAGGCCCCCTGGCCGGGGCTGCGCTGGGCTGGCACAAGTGATTGCATTGCCTCGTCGCAGAGATCTGCCAAAATCTGGCGCTGCGCCCTGGATGCCCGCCCGATGCCATGCGACGCGGGCGATATTTCCACTGCCGCCGCCGGAGGTGCACTCGCGTGGGGGGGGGCTAGCTCCAGGCCCCTGGCGCGCGCCAGCGGGCGCCTTCAAGTCAGCTCTTTCTCGACGTCATCACACTCCATGCGCGCGCGGGCCCAGCGACGGCCAGCGCGCGTCTCGCGGACTGAGCGCAGCATTCATCGACGACGGCAATTCCGCGGCACCCGCGGCCAGAGGGCTC